GGTTGCAGCCATCATTGTTGTTTGGCGGGCCCGGGCTGGGGATTCAAACCCGCCACCTTAGATGTATGTGGCTGGCGCCTTAGCCGCTTGAGCCACAGGTGCTGAGCCCAAATTCACCATTTTTTAAATAATATTTTTTCCTCCCATACAAAGATAATCAAAACAGATCTGATTTTTAAAAATGTAACACATACATTAGGCTTTTCTACCCAAAAACAACTACACAGGAGATAAAAATCAAGCTTTTAATTAACTATTCAGTTTTCCTACTCAATAATAATTCTATGACAAATATTAGAAATTTAAATCATGAGGTGGCGCCTGTGGCTCAGTGGGTAGGGCACCAGCCCCATATACCAAAGGTGGTAGGTTCGAACCCTGCCCCGGCCAAACTGCAACAAAAAAAGAAAAAATAGCTGGGCATTGTGGCAGGTGCCTATAGTCCCAGCTACTCAGGAGGCTGAGGCAAGAAATTCGCCTAAGCCCAGGAGTTGGAGGTTGCTGTGAGCTGTGACACCACAGCACTCTACCGAGGGTGATATAGTGAGACTCTGTTTCTAAAAAAATTTTTTAAATAAAAATAAATAAGAAATTTAAATCATGAATCTATCTTAATTCAATAGTACTCACTGGGCTTTAAGTAGATCTTTTTCCCGTTTCTCTAGTTCAGCTCTAGCCTTGTTTCTTTCTTCTTCTTCCATGTCAAGCTTTGTTTCAAGTGCTTTTCTCTCTTCATCAATTTTTGCTTGCATTTCAACCATTTTATCTGGAGAAACTTTCTTTTTACCTATTTGAGTCATTTAATTGCAACAATCACTAAAATGAGCCAATGTTTGAGACATATAAATTACCTTCAATACAGAACTTCCTATACTCCTCAATAATACAAAAGCAAATGTCAACATTTTAAGGAAGTAAAAACAATAATATCCTTCATTTCTATTTATTATGTTCCTAGAACTTTTTAACTCATTGCTAAAGTCAAACTGTTGTCCAACTGTGCAAAGATAACTAAAACCAAAAGTAAGTGAAAGAGAAGCAAAAAAGATGAGCTGAAAAACAGGGATAGAAAGATAAACAAGAAAGCCAAATAAAAAAGCAATGATTTGTGTGTTCCCAATAACATATATAGATTTAAGAAAAGCAAAATGATTCTTCAGTTACTTTTTCCTGATAACCAAGTACAAAATCAAGTGGCTCCCCAAAATCACATAAAATGAATGAATAAAAGTCACATATAGGTAGTAAATGCATAGATAAAAATATCAGGCAGAATTTATACCAAACAGTTTTTAATATATTTTTTCCGAGTTTTTCTAAAATTTATGTCTAATAAAATTACTTGAAAGCACAGAATTTGGTTTCTTAATTTTAAAGAAAGAAATTCTACACTATAGAATTCTGTAAGAGTTACATAGTAATTCACCAAGCATTTTACAGTTACTGAACTGTCATGACCTAAAATCATACCCTCAATGAACAAGCTATTTTAGCTGGTTATTATGTCAAACTCAGGACCCTAAATCTCCCTAAACAAGATTAAACATGTCAAGTGTCAAATATAAGTAGAAATACTATCAATATAAAGCTAGAATATGGCTTCCAACTATTCCTTTTCTTTTCTTTTTTTCTTTCTTTTTTTCAAACAGAGTCTCAAGCTGTCACCCTGGGTAGAGTACTATAGAGTCACAGCTCACAGCAACCTCTAACTCTTGGGCTTAAGCGAGTCTCTTGCTTCAGCCTCCCAAGCACTTGGGACCACAGACACCTGCCACAATGCCTGGCTATTTTGTTGTTGTTGTTGTTGTTGTTGTTACAGTTGCCACTGTTGTTTTAGCTGGCCCAGGCCGGGAACCTGCCAGCCTCAGTGTACGTGGCTAGTGTCCTACCCACTGAGCTACAGGCACTACCGGATTCCAACTATTTCAGTTATTACATCTAATCAAGTATTATATGTACTTATACTAGGTGGTCAATGAAAGTTAATTGATGAATTTCAACATAAATAGACGGGTTATGTGACTGAATCAAAAACATTTCTAGTAATATAATTTCTTAGAAACATATTCCTTCAGAAAACCAATCAAACTTTTCACAGAATTGGTCTAAGGCTCTCCTGGAAACTTTTTGTCATTCTTAACTTCCTTCCCAAAGGACCACAGAAGGAAAGTAAAAACCAGAAGAGTTTGTAATTGTTAATGTCTCCACCTAAAAGCTAACCCTTCCTGCTAGCAAGGAAAAAGAACTGAAAAATAATTATGATGAAGATATTATCTCAATGTTTTTTTTTCAGAAACCATGAAATGAAGAATCATTCACAGGCTTAATCTTTAGAACAAAATTATATCAAAAACTCAAGAGTTTAAAAACATATTACCCTTTAATTTTATAGAACTGTAAATCCAAAGCAAATCTATGCCACAGAACAAATTAAATAAAAAGAGTAAATAAAAGCACTGATTCAAATTCATGCTTTGGTGTGGTGTGATTCATTGCATTCCAAAAGTCAGGATGTAGATCTGATTCTGTTGGCTTGTTTGGCACAGTCACCTGTACTGACCCTTCTGAATTAGCTGTTAAAAAATAATTTCTAAAAATGATTTAATTCTTTTTCCCAACAAATTCCTAGAAAAGCGTTTCCCATCAGTTATACTATTTCTTAGAAATTTGAAAAAAAGTATTAAACTCAGGTATACAGTAAGTGCATGCATTTAAAAAAATAGTAACTTCCTTTCCACCTAAGAATCATAAATATTTAAAGAAAAATATGGGAAATATGTTAAGGCAAAAATAATAAACACATGAAGACATGGATACTAATGGTATAGAGGAAATGATCTAATCAACTTATGAACATTAATATTTTTAGGCTTGTAGGGTTCTAATTGTTTTGTTAATAGTTAAAAACATAATTTCAAAACCCATTGAGAGGCAATAAAACAAGAAGATTTTATATGTAGAAATATAAAAAAAACACGACTACTGATGAATTATTACATTGGTAATTCAAAACCATTCAGGTAAGTTTTTCAAACTGATACTTCAGTGGCAAAAATTTTATTGTGTTCTTGTAACATCTTCATGAAGATGACGATGCATACATAGCTAGGGTTAGTTTAAAAAATCCCGTATTTAAGTGACATATTACTTTGGCCAGAATCATTCTGACAAATCATTATATTTCTGTTCAAATAATATTTTTAAGTTAAATATGAATATGTACCAACTTCCCTAACCAGGCATTTAAATGTGACAACACTAAAAATCACTTTTATAAGTATTTGTTAAAAAGATTTTTTTAAAAAAATCTTATCAAACCAAAACAAAACAAAACAAAACACAAAACTAACCCTTCTTTTTCTAATACTGCATGGTAAAATTCAACAAAATTTTCAGGCAAGTTAAGTTTTGTAAAAGTTAATGCCATATAGAGAGGTGGTTTTGTTTGTTTTCTGTTTTGTTTTTGAGACAGAGTCTCTCCATTGCCCAAACTAGAAGGCAGTGGCATCTTCATGGCCCACTGCAATCTCAAACTGCTGGGCTCAAGTAATACTCCTCCCTCAGCCTCCTAAGCAGCTGATACCACAGATGCAAGCCACATGTCTGGCTAATTTTTCTACTTTTTGTGAGAGGTGTCACCCTTGCTCAGGCTGGTCTCAACTCCTGAGCTCAAGGAATCCTTCTGCCTCTGCCTCCCAGAGTGCTAAAATTATAGGTGTGAGCCACCATGCCCAGCTCAGTCCATATAATTTTATTTTATTTATTTATTTATTTATTTTTGCAGTTTTTGGCCAGGGCCGGGCTTGAACCCACCACCTCTGGTATATAGGGCCGGCACCCTACTCCTTTGAGCTACAGGCACCGTCCCATATAGGTTTAATATTTTAACCAAACTAAAATGTTTAGCCAAGCAGTAACATTTTAAATTGTCCTTTGCCATGAGCTATAACCAAAACTATAAAGTGAATTGGCAAGGGAAAGTTAAAGGGAAGAACTTCAGGGAAGTACAAATTGAATTAATTTCTGACTTATTATTATTATTAGTTTTACAGTAGCCTTTTATTTTTAAGACCTATTATGCCACGAATTCATAAGGAATAGATTTCAGCAGTTCAGGGTCCTTTCCATTGGCTGTCACAAAGCATGCTGTGCATATTATGCCAAGAATTTAGGTTTGTAATTTAATTTGTAATTTCAAATTACAAACCCATCCTTTCCATAAGTTCTCACAAAGCATGCTTCTCTATGTGGAGCAGCTGGTGCATCAGTTGACCCCAGGTACCATTCTCTTAGGCTATCTTCTTTTTCTGATCATTTTCCTCTACATGTTTCAGGAAGCTATCTCAGCTGTTAAGAGTGCTTAACATGCTCAGAACAAACATTAATCCTTTCGGCAATACTCTTTCCCTTAACTTGTTTGTTCACTACAATGCCAAGAGTACACTGGGTAACAATGCGGACTTTTCCAGTTTTGCCATGGCAATATTTGTGGGGCAAGCCTTTTGAACAGTACCCATTCCCTTGATATCTAACAGTATCATGCTTCTTGTAGATTTGCACGTATGTGGCCAAAGGAACAACTCCATGTTTTCTAAAATGCCTGGAGAATATGTATTGGCTGCCTTTGTGTTTGTTATTTTGGTGAATTACTGGAAGATGGCATCTCTAGCCAAAAGGAAGCTCAATTTTATTACATGAGCAGCCATAGGCATGGATAACCAAGCATTTGATTATCGGCTTAAAATGGGGGAGGAGATGTTTGAATGTGAAATTATTTACATTTGTATTTCCAAAGTGTGTCTTAATGGGTCTTTAAGAATTTAGGAAAAAAGGAAGTCTTTTTAAAGGCTAAAGTTGAAAGATTTTTTTTAAATACAAAAGGTGAATACTTACCTTGCAAAAAATTATTAAATTTTAAAAATTGAATGTATTTAAATAACAAACTTTTTATATGATAAATTATACCACGTGGAGTGCAAATCAATCACACCAACCTGCTTGATCTTGTAATAAGAAGTAGTAAGCAAATCGTAGACAGGAAGCATATGCACAGAGATGAGGAGGAAAAAAAGGAAAACATTATTTCTTTTGTAAAACAAAGAAAAATGCATAATAGCATTTATTTATAGCATAAGTACAGAAATAAATCAAATCATTATCAAAACTAAAATAAAGCCCATGTAAATAGAAAGACACAAATAAGAGATGTAATTTAAGCAAGAATATTAATTTAGTCTAAGATTACAATTCAAATCAATCTCAAGAGCTCACACTGATTCTCAAACTCCTGAAATGTAAGAGTTCAATACCACGTAATTATGCTAAACAGTACACATAGAATTGGGAACCTGCTAAGACCTATAAAGTAATCTAAAAGGGCAAAACAGAAAATTACACCAATTTTAAAAATTAGTAAGTTAAAAATAACAAAATTGACATTGCCCATTTCCAAAATTTCCCAATTCAATGTTTCTCCTAGGGTCAGGATCCACTACAGGTGTGCCTCACTTTAAGAAAATCCAACACAAAAATCTAAACCAACTAAATAGATAAATCAAATTATACTAATTTGCACTAATTATTTGATTAATAGAAAGATTCAGTGAAGAATTTTTTTTTTTTTTTTTTTTTTTTTTTTTTGAGACAGAGCCTCAAGCTGTCCCCCTGGGTAGAGTGCTATGGCATTACAGCTCACAGCAACCTCCAACTCCTGGGCTCAAGCGAGTCTCCTGCCTCTGCCTCCCAAGTAGCTGGGACCACAGGCGCCCGCCACAACGCCCGGCTATTTTTTGGTTGCAGCCGTCATTGTTGTTTGGCAGGTCCGGGCTGGGGATTCGAACCTGCCACCTTAGGTGTACGTGGCTGGCGCCTTAGCCGGTTGAGCTATAGGCGCCGAGCCAGTGAAGAATTTTTAAAGACAGCAAGTTCTCTCGATACACTTGATTTCCAACTTGATTTATAGACAATGTTTTCAGGAAAAATATCTATTACATAAAATGAAGTACACCTGCATAGTAACAAACTTAAAATACATTCAGTCTATTAAATGATTGAGGATAATTATAATAATGATTCTACAGAAGTAAAGGTAATTGATGATTCAAGCAAGGGACACCTTAAAGGCCATTCATATTTTTGAAAGGGAAGGTACATACAAGTTACAGCAACCACATGCTGGGACATCTCTTCACTTCACCAACACGCCCACATTACAACAAAAAAAATGTTATGTGCTAGGTATGCAAATAGTAATTCAACTTTTTTGAATTGGATAAAATACAATTCATTACATAACAAAACTTCATGAAAGTATTCTTTAAGAATGAAGATAAATTTTAAACAGAAAATTAAACTACAATGCCTCCTACTTGGATATTTTCTCATATTCTACTGTTTCTAATACAAAATAATACCTCTATATGGACTCTAAAGCAATTTCATGTATTTTACAAATTATCCTCTGAAATTGTTTTGGTAATTTGCCTAAGAATTGTGAATAGGGAGAAAGATTTCTAATATTCTCGGAATGCTTCCTCTAGAAAGCTAAAAGCATAAGAATAATAAGTGATTAGTTTTGTTACTAATTTTAGAAAGGGTAAGTATATAGATAATGCTCTAAAAGACAGTAAGCTGTAAGCTGGTACAAGAAAGTATCACCTCCTTTTCTTCTGAAAGTAAAATATAAATAGATAAAATTAAATAATACTTTTAATCTTAATTAAAGTTTAAGAAAAAGCCTTTAAGTTTGAAATAAGTCTAGATCCTACATGCACAACTTTTGGTGATTCCGAATTCTCTAATTACAACTTAGAAAATTTCTTAAAATCTACCAGGTAATTTAGAAATAGGGATAAATGTCCATTTTAAATAAAATACTATTCAATTTATCTTCATTTGCTTCAAACTTTTGATTTTTCTTTATTTGATAGCCTTTAATCTTAAGCTACTCCTAAGAATAGTACACCAAAGTGCAAAATGCTTATAACTGCAGAACATGTTAGAATGGGAACTGATGCAATTCCAGATATAATTGTATTTTTAGAAATTTAGGATTTGATATTGCATATTCCTTACACTGAGCAGGATTAGAAATTTATCAGGAAACCTAAAAAAGAATCATAAGAATTACTGTCTTATACAGCTTACTAGGTCTCTTTACATTATCTCAATTGCAAAAGCATGAATCTCTCTTCCATTGTCTCAAACACAAGCTAAAGCGTATGTTTTAACAATTACGGTTAACTGGAAGCAATGAAGGGTGGGGGGAATCATCACATGCTTTGTCCAACTGAGAAGTCCAACATGTATTCTTCAAGTAATGACAGGAAACGGTACAGCATATCTCAAATGAAGCCCATGGGTTATGGAAAAGCCAAAGCTCTGTTAGAGAATTTAAGAGCTACCACTCACTAGGCAAGAACTTATCCAGAGGTTTCTCTATGACAGAACATGTGGAGTCTGAACTACTGCTGCTGCTACTGCCTGGAAGACAAAGAAATGAGCCCAACGGGAACCAAAGAAAGAGGAAACAAGAAAATGAACACACACACAGAGAAAATTCAGTTCCAGAGAAAGAATTTTAAAGGACAATCAAGCTTTGCATTAAAAAACCAAAACTTACTTTCCCTTAAAACCAGTCTTGATGGTTTACCTAATATTCTCTACTTTACAAAGCCATACAGGGGAATTAGAAACTATTCCATTAAGCAATTATACTGTGGGCAACTCCCATTTAGTCACCCAAAACATAATAATTCAGAAGGTTGAAATGACAAGAATAAAAAATAAGTCAATAATTTGGTGACATTTAAGTCTATTTAAACTCTTTAGATTGACAACATAAAGTTTTAAAATTTAAAGTTATAAACAATTATTTTAATTTTTTGAATGATCATTCCTTCATTATAGACAGGTTGGTCTGTCTCTACTTTCTCTCCCTAGAACACCAAACTGTCAAATATAATTAATGTTTAAAGAAAGTTTGACAGCAAAACTTTCAAAGGATCACTGAAAATTTTAAAATTTCTAAGCCTGGAAGGAAAGTCAGTGGCACTTTTTCTTTCTTTTTTTTTTTTTGAGACAGAACCTCAAGCTGTCCCCCTGGGTACAGTGCCGTAGCATCACAGCTCACAGCAACCTCCAACTCCTGGGCTCAAGCAAGTCTCCTGTCTCAGCCTCCCAAGTAGCTGGGACCACAGGAGCTCGCCACAACGTCTGGCTATTTTTCTGGTTGCAGCCATCATTGTTGTTTTGTGGGCCGGGGCTGGATTCGAACCTGCCACCTTAGGTGTATGTGGCTGGCGCCTTAGCCACTTGAGCCACAGGTGCTGAGCCAGTGGCACTTTTTCTATTTAAAAATTTCCTTGTAACAAATCTATTGTCCACTTTAACTTACAAAGAATAATCTCCTCTGTGAAAAGTAGGTATGAACAAAAAACTATGTCTTTTAATCAGGGGTTGGCAAACATTTTCTGCAAAAGAATAGATAATGTGTTTTAGGTTTTGCAGGCCAAAAGCAGCCATAAACAAATGAGCTTGGCTGTTTTTAATAAAATTGTTTACTAAAACTGGTGATGGGCTGAATATGGCTAGTGGATTGTATTTTGCCAACTCTCGCTCTAAATCATGCTTTTCTTGCCTTTGAAGTTATAGAATCTTTATAGTCTTTAAATTTGGGACTCCTAATCAAGCAGTAATGAGTTTATTTTCAGCAAGATCATTCTAAGACAACAAGCAAAGTATGCACCAGCTTGAAAACAATGACCACATTAATGGAAGAGAGTTCTGAAATAAAAATTTACAGTAAAAAGGCTTGAAATGTAGGCCATTATATCTGTTTCTTTTGCATGTTACCTATATTCTTATCACAACAAACAGTCCTAATTCATTCAGTAACAAATGTCCCACAGAAGCATGAGAATGAGAGTACATTTTATATAGAAAAAAATTAAAAAATAGAATTCTGTACAAACTTATTATTTAAAAATTCAATGACTTCTAAAGACTAACCTTGTTGAGGGAAAACTCTACATTACCCTAATTTCCTAAAAACGTAGGTCCCTATACAAAATCAAAATCCTACATGAAATTTTATAATGGGATAACCACCATATAGAATTTTACTATAGTAAATTCTACAAAAAGTACACACAGTATTCTGAATCAGCTATAAACCAGAGATGAATATAGGAGGAAAAATAGAAAGTTAACCAAGCATATGGCATATATCCTGTTTTCATTGCTGCCACAACTAAAATCAGTAAAACAAAAGGCATGCACTCTACTGCCTTAGTAATGAGGAACATGGTTAGGTAGTAATTCTAATTTCTACAAATTAGAATGCAACACAGAACTTACCTCTTCTTTTTTTCCTTTTCTCTCCATCTTCTCCAATCTCACCATCTTCATCATCATCTTCCTCTGACCCACTGATATCAGAGCCTGATATTTCTTCCCCTTGAATAGAAATTGAATATAACCATTTTTATTCCTGTACCAAGTCACTGGCTATTTAGGAAATGGCTATGTCAACTTTTCTTCATTAATTTTTT